ACTATTAAATCAGTCGTCAACGATTTTGATAGTCGACGTAATCGTGACTAGTCGACTAATCGTGGCAGCCCTAGTGTACATGCTCTACCGGTACTTGCACAACTTTTTTTTTTTTTTCTTCTTTAGGATTTCCACTTTATCTAAAAACATGCTCAGTTTCCATAAGAGGCCACGCACTCACAAAACAGACTATTAATTTCAAGACTTGACTTTCTTGTTTAGTTAAAATGTTCGACTGAAATTTGTGTTATACATAAGTGATAGCGCTTCTTTTTAAAATAACTTTCTTGTAAAATGACTAATGGCACAGCTTGTGGTCATGAATAGAAGAAGTTGTGTATAATTCCTCCATTTGTTTTTCAGTTAAACACACTAGTAATGCATAACCTTCCACTTTCATAATTGTGATGTCTTATCTTTTATTGTCAGTTTTGTTACTCCTGATAAATGCTTAGTATCTTGATGGTCTCTATGAAGCAGGAGCTCATAGTTATAAAATTTTTTTGTAAATATCAGGACTTTGATGGAGGTCATGTACTTATCAAGAATGCCAAGCAAATTAGAAGCGACTGGTCACGTTGCTTTCCTGACAGCCCATTTGAATCTTGTGACAGACGTGACTGAGACAACTTGGTATGAATGGCTTGTAACCCAACCTGTTTCATAGGCTGTCAATAATTTATATTTAAGTACACAGTGAACTGTATACTTAAATAGTGTCATTTTAGCCTTTACCTGTGAACATTCTGAATCTTTTTAAAAGAAAAAATGATACAATGTTTTTGTTTTAAAAGATGATTTTGTATGTCATTCACAGATGCAAGAAGCCATTCATCTGTAAATAATAGATTTTGGAGCTCATCAAACTCATGTTTACTGCCTTTATGCCAATGATACAGGAAGAAATCAGTTTTTAAGGAAAGGGATTTAACCCTTTAAAACCGGTGGGAGCGGCACGCTCTGTTTTGAGTAACTATTTTTAAATCCCGGTAGCTCTGCAACCACTTAAGCTAGCGCAGTAATTTGTTTTGCATATGAAACCGGAGGAGTTGTACTTACATCTTATGCCATCAGCTTGTCCTAGGTCACAGTTTCGTTCCACATATAGCTTTGCAAAAACTGCATAAAAAGCACTTGCAGCAACAAAAAAATAATATTCCAGAAACACGCTTTGCCGATCAGATCAGCTGTTCATAACACTTCCTACGTTGGAATAGACGTCAGCGCGAACTTTTGCATGTCCGCCATTACCTGCCCGAAACCGGAAGTGACGTCATTTTCGTGGAAATGTAGTTTTTTGTTTGTTTGTTTTTTACCATCAGGGCCTCATGAGCCTATACTGGTGTTTTTAAAAGTTATCTTTGACTTTATGACTTTCTGTGTCGTTTCTGGGATGCTTAGGACTCATATTGCACTGCTGGAAATAGTTTGTTTTGATGCATATGCTGTTTTTTTTGCAAATTTGCAGTATATTTATTTTCGTTTTTCCTTCAGTATATAAAAATTGGTGTATTTCAAAAATAAAACTATGAAGACACTCAAAATAAATTTCCTGTGGTAGGAAACTTTTTTGTGCAACTTTTTTGTATTTACAGTTTTGAGGGATAAGCCTCTTAAATTTCTCTAACTAGAAATATATGTTAAAAAAGCAAAAACGATTTTCAATTTTTTTGTAGTTTATTGCACTTTTTTTGCAATTTATGTAATTACTATGCACTTAATGCATACATATTATTAAAATCTGGGCTATAATGGTTGTATTGATGTATAGCAACTTGAAATGCTCCCAAAAATGGCACTACAGCATGTAAAAATATAATATAAGCTCTGGCGGACTTGGTTCTATGGTAGGTCTTAAAGGGTTAAGAGTTAGCAGTAAATATTTACAGAAATCTTGGGGAAAAGGCTGAGAAGAACACTAAAAGCACTCTCCTGCTGACTTACTTTACTTGTCCTTTTTTTCCTGGCCCTTTGTGATTTTCAACACATAGCTATTTTAGAGCTTGACCTAGATGAAGGGAACCAGAGTGGATAGCAGTATTTAGCCCAATACACAAAGCTGGAAAGAGTCCCGTCTTTAGTTTGATCCATGTGGCATTTCTTTTTTTTCTCTCTAGCTTTACAGAACAGTAGTCTAAAGGAAGTTATTATGTTAAAAGTTTTTCCTTAGAAATAAGGAAGTAAGCTTTTCCTTAGAAAATAAGCTGGCCGCAAAAGTCCCGTTTCTCACTTTCTTTTATCATCTAGCATGGTGTTATGTAACCACTTTCATTTTAGCTTTTTATCTCCACTTGGTCTTAGGCTCTAAAGGTGTCAATGGATTCAAAGATTGCACCATTTCCCAACGCAAGGCTCCAAAACCTGAAGCGAAATCTGAAGATGACAATGATTTGTTTCCCAGAACCATGGATTTGGGCGAAAATATCAGTCCCACCCCCGAACCAAAGGAAGGGAGTCAAGAAAAAGATGTGAAGGTTTGATGTGTTTTCTACCATATTAGTCTATTAATGAGATTTAGGATATGTAAATATAACAATACTTTTATAAATGTTTGAAGTAAGCAACACTTATGAGAATAATGTGACCAACTGAATTCTTTGAGGGTCACTACAAAAATCACCTGAACCTCCCCGACAAACCTGACTGTTTGCAAACTTGTGTCTTCAGCCTGTGGAAGAGAAAAAAGTGGCCAGGCCCATCCAGATTGTCCAGGCAAATGAGCACAACTTTGAGCTGAACGCCACAGCACTGGAGGAAGTCTTGCTGCAGAAACATGTGAAGGACCTGAACGTGGTTGTTGTGTCTGTGGCTGGAGCCTTTAGGAAGGGAAAGTCCTTCCTGCTGGATTTCATGCTGCGCTACATGCACAACCGGGTGAGATGACCGTTGTATTTACACTTTCTGTAGTAGGGATTTAAAAAAAACATTTTTTTTAAGGTACAAATATTAGTTGCATTACATTTTCCAAATATTTAAAGAAATGTCGACCAACGTGCATTTCTGAGCTGTCTCTTTCTGTCTGAGGTTTGCATCTTTTTCTCTCGGCCCGTGTGGCTGTTCTGGATTCCTCCCACAGTCCAGAGACATGGAAGTAATTCTAAGCTGCCCATAGAGTATGAGAACATGAATGAATGTGTCTTTCTGTATTAGTCCTGGACATACACTGGAGACCTGTTCAGGCTGTAACCCACCCCTTTCCCTATGACTTCTGGGATAAGCTCATTAAAGTACACTGTGTCAGACCTGTTGTTGTTAAAGAATCATTCTTTAATCATATTGGTACAACCCGGAGCATTAAAGATATTCTTTAGATATAAATAAAGACAGTCAAATTGATGTCTCCTTATATATAAAATGTACTACTTTAATTTGTACACAGTTTCACTGAGCTGAGATATACATTAGTGCTAATAGAACCCAAGATGTGTTTACATGAGCTGTTTACATGAGCTAAGTAAACATAAGAGTTTATCCTTACTCAAAGGGTGACTATTGAGTAACATTTTCAGTCGGTAGAGATTGTGAAATTGGGTAGACATGAACAAGGACAGCAGAGGACACTTCAACTAGTATTTGCATGCACAGGTGACGAGCAAAGACAAGTGCTTCCAGTTTTGATTTTGTACTGAGATACTTGCTGAACCAGGAGAGTAAGATTTGCAGTGAGGTCCACACGGTCCACGTGAGCACAGTATCTTGTTTATTTCCTATAGAAGTGTAAACGGCGAGTCTTTGAGCCCCTCTAACAGCAGTTGGATACACAGAAGCAGTCAGGATCACCTTACACTTACACCTTACACACACGTGAACACATACCAGGAAATACAAAAGGGTGTTGCAAGTATGGTATTTCTCAAAGTTGTTGGGCATGAACATGGGCATTCATGAAGTTATTGATAATTAATCCAAGTTTATTCATGACTTAATGTTACCACTAGACTTAATAAGTGTGTGCAGCTTTTTTTTGTTCCTTTTTATTACAGGAAGTATTGTCTTCAGGTATTTATTATCTGTCATCGCATCACACTTGGACACAGCACAGATATGTACTAATGGGGAATCAGTACTCTGATGTACTCTGACCTCTAAATCACACATTTGCTTTGAAGCTGCATTTCCTATTTGTGGTCAGTGGGATAAACATTCATTGTCACAAAGAGTTACCATTAATTGATGTTTGTGCTCACAATCACAACAGTTGACTGGAAAAAATGTATTATACTATATTATATTATATTATATTATGTGAAATTCTACATTAAGAAATCATTTTTTATTCATCTGTTTGTTCAACTTGTGTTGATATCTCTTTGAACAATGTTTAGTTGAAACGTGTTGCTGTAATCATCATAGATGCTATAAAACGTGTTGATGGTGATTAACCTTTGGTTGCTTTTCCTTCATTTGGCATACTGCATTAGTCTTACATGTAACGTTTCTGGAATGGTGCAACACACTGCACTGACAAAAGACCTCGGGATCGGCCCCATTGGGCAGTGTATCTGTGCAATTTTCACTTTTATCTTTCATCCTCTCCCAGTCTTAGACAGGAATTCACATGGATGTAGATGACAAACAACCTTGGTTTTCATGTCCCTCTGTTCCCTTCTGTCTCATCTTGAATCTTTCCTTTTCAGGATAAAGACTCATGGATAGGAGGTAATGATGAGCCCCTGACTGGGTTCACCTGGAGAGGGGGGTGTGAGAGGGAAACCACAGGAATTCAGGTCTGGAGTGAAGTGTTTGTGGTGGAGAAGCCTGATGGCGACAAGGTAGATACAACACCTCCACTCATTGCCAGACATATTTATCATGAACAGTTATTTTAATCTTTTGTTAATGAATTTTCAAACATTTCGACACAAACTTGTGCTGAATGTGTTTTGAACTCGTTTAATCTCATCCCGACAGGTTGCTGTGCTCCTTGTTGACACACAAGGAGCATTTGACAGTCAGTCTACCATAAAGGACAGTGCTACAGTTTTTGCCCTCAGCACAATGACCAGCTCTGTTCAGGTGATACTCAAAGCATGTCTTTTCTTTAAATATAATATATTTGCATATTTATTTTTAACATATTAAGATGCAAGCCTTGCATTACATTTAAGTTTTGTTGGGGTTTTTTTTTTCTCGTTCTTTCAGGTGTACAATCTCTCTTCAAACATACAAGAGGATGACCTGCAGCACCTCCAGGTTTGTGTCATTTTGTTTCTTCTCTCACCAAAAAGTACCATCAGAATATTCAGTTCTTTCATCGTCATTTATTTTTCCTTTCATATGAAGCTCTTCACAGAATATGGCCGTCTTGCAATGGAAGAGGTGTCTGAGAAACCTTTCCAGGTACTGGCTTTTTCTGTTCCCTGTGTGTTTGTTGCAATTCACGGTGTACATTGTTTGAGGTTTGAGTCAGTCCTTTCACTGAAAACAAATGTAGTGTGGACAAGTAAAAGTAAAAAAAAAAAAAGAATAAAAATAGCCTAGTTTATTTCAGTTACTGTTGTTTTGTTTATTTTTTTCATAAAATCAAAGACATTCTCTGAGTATCTGTACTGTTGGTTTTCTCTTTTAGTCTCTAATGTTCCTCATTCGGGATTGGTGTTTTCCTTACGAATTCTGTTATGGAATGAAAGGAGGCAATGAATTTCTGGATAAAAGATTGCAGGTGAGAATTACATTTCAACGCAGATTCAGAAAGTAAACGGGGAAAAAATTGTGAGAGAATACAGGCTTCTAGACAGAAGAAACCTACCATACCATACTCTGATGTTCACACATTGATTATTGCTTCCTGCAGCACAAATAATTTTAACAATGTTCCTGTTATGGATGGCGCATCACTTCTTGAAAAACACAAAAAGTCAGTAACAAGCTCACATTTTCACTGTGTGTGTTGATGCAGGTTAAACATAATCAACATGAAGAGTTGCAGAATGTGAGAAATCATATCCAGCACTGTTTCTCCAACATCAACTGCTTCCTGCTGCCACATCCTGGCCTGAAGGTGGCTACTAACCCAAAATTTGACGGCAGGCTGAGAGGTGAGAACAAGGCAACAGTAGTAATGTAGACTAATGGCTAAAGACGTGGTAGGTGCTGGTTGTACGCAAAGCCTGCTCAAAACATTGCAGATTGGTGCCTATATGTTGTAGCTGTGACCT